GCGGGGATTTCATCACCTCCCCCGAAATCAGCCAGGTGTTCGGAGAGGTACCGCAGGGCTCCTCGGGTCTGCAGTGGCTTGGTTTTGGAGGAGGAAGGGGGGGGTTTGGTGCTCGGGAGGATCGGGAGCCGCTCTCTTGGGTTGTAATTTGTGTCTGGGCTTCGTAACACTGGGTTTCGTACAGAACCTGTTTATAAATAAAGAGTTATGGCAGTGTCGCAGTCTGAAAGCTCTGCTCAACAACCCCTTCCAGATTCTGGTCTGGTTCACTCTGGTTGTGTGTCGTTTCCATTCTCAGGACGCTGTGGTAAGGGCATTGTCACAGAGAACAGCTCTTCAGAGGCACTGACCCGCGTTTGAGCCTTCAGTAAAAGTTCATGCGCCAACCAGGAGAGAGTCCCAGCCTTTTACTGACAGAGAGCTGCTTCTGCTGGGCTGACGGCAAACCATCTCCAATTTTAATGCTTAAAGAGGGCAAAGTTATGGATGATTTTTCTCAGCTTTAAAATACAGAGAGAGAATATTGTATCCCCATTATTATCAGATAAAAGGCAGATATCACTCGCACAAGTTCTGAAGTGACACTGTAACCCTTTGTTTGTGTTGTTTCTCGCTGTCAGTTAATAGGAATATGGTACATTAGCGAGTGGATAGCCGCAGGCAAGCCTAAAGCCTTCCAGCTGGTGGAACTGGGCCCAGGGAGGGGCACTCTTGCTGATGATATATTACGGGTAGGTGAAAAATAACATTAATGTTGTTTATTTCTGGCTTGGTTCCATGGCTATGCTGAAATCTGAAGGAATTATGTTTTGCTATTGGGGTTTAACCTTCCCTAGTAATGATATCGTTTCAGTCAGGAGATTTGCAGCTTAGACTCCAATTAAAATATCTGCATGTTTCTGGGACCAGGTCTCTCAGCTGACAGCAGAAGACAGGCCAACGCGTGCACACTGTGCAGACAAGCTTGTAGTCTTTCAAACACTACTTGATAGAGTGGGAGGGCAGGAATATTCCCTGACGGATTATTTCTGCATAAGAAAGCATTATCCAAACTGTAATGCCTTTAGGATGGTGCTGCTGTGGAGGGAGGCCTCAGTGCAAGCAATAGGAGGAAGAGGGGAGAACAATAATCCAGGAGTGAAGTTGCCTCGGTTCCTTTGGGGATTTCAGGGGCTTATTTCCTTTCTGTTCTGTCGTGCTTGCGTGGTTATTAATCAAAATACTACTGACTTAAAAAAAATTGCTAATGGGATTGAGTACCTCAGAACTTTTATTCTATTTGCATATGTTAATGAAAAGGAACTGTAATAACGACAGTGAAATGTAGAGTATTGAGCACTTTTTGTTTATGATGTCTAGGAAAACTGAACCATTTTTCCTCTAATGCTAAACCCCCTGCAGGCAGTAGAGGGGCTACTCACTCTCAGGCTATTACTATTGTAAATCAGCATTTCATGTTGTCCTTACATCTATATAATGTGTGCTGTATTTTGCCAACTTTATGAGAAGCATAGCAGCTTTTATTAAAATTGATGAAGAAATTCACGTTTCCTTCTGGAGGAGCAAAATGCAGTCTCTTTCACTGAGACCATTTTGTTAAATGAAAGCCAACTAAATCTTTTTATCTTGAATATAAATAAAGGTTCAAGAATTAACCTCTAATCTCATTAATGTCTACAGCACGACTGTGCCTAATAGAATCCATCTGCCTTTATAGGTCTTCAAGCAGCTTGCCTCTTTACTTAGTAAATGTGATGTCTCTATTCATCTGGTAGAAGTGAGTCCCAAACTCAGCGAGATCCAAGCGCTGGTGCTGACAGGAGGGAAGGTGCAGTTGAACCCTGAGGACGAGCCTGCTTACATGAAAGGTGTTAGCAAGACTGGAAATCCCATTTTCTGGTACAGAGACATCCAAGATGTGCCGCCAGGTAAGGAGCTTGAACATCTTGTTACAGGGATGGCATCCTTCCTCCAGTTGCAGTTTTTGATAACGGAGGACATTTCTGCTAGCCTTCATAGTGGATAGAAAAGTAGTGAATATACATATTTGTTCTTACTTCTTGTATGAGTCTGAGGCAGGATCTTGGCTCATTCTCATAACTGGTACCTGTTCTGACTACCTACATTTTGGGATAGCTACCCAGTTTCATATATTCTGCCTTTTTTCTTTTCATGGGAAACCGTTTACTAGCTCTGCCTGAATCTCCTTTCATGAGATACCGATCTAAAATTCATGGTCTGGAAGCTAGAGCTAGCTGTAGAAATGCTGTCTTTGATGTATCCAAGCTGGAAGTAATGATAATTATTTCACACTCACATTAACTAGCTTAATTAATTAAAATTCATTAAAATAATTTAATTTTCAACTGGAAGCTGCTATGGAAGCATTAAAAACTTAATACATTCTTTTTTACCTTCCCACAGGTTACAGCTTTTACTTAGCACATGAGTTTTTTGATGCCCTGCCAATACATAAGTTCCAGGTATAGCAAGAAGATTATTTTAATTGTGACCATCTGCTTAAACACCTTTTTCTTTTTGGGGAAGAATAGAATTAGGATGCTAAACTAGACACATGCATTGTCTCTGGTGTTAAAATATTTCTAACAATTTGGACAAATAAGGCTTAATTCAGCTTATCACTGTAAAATTAGTAATTGTTCTTGAATGGAAAAACTTTGTGGAAAGCTAAAGCTTCCTTTCTCCTGAGATAAGTTTCAAGTTTTTTTATTTCTTATGCTGCGTTAATGAAGTTTGTAATTTCCATGTTATTTTATGTACCACTACTAACAAAGACTGAAGGGCTTTCATTTGAATGGTAATGAGAATAGAAAAATAGAGGCTAGGTAGGATTCAGGAAAAACTTTGAACTTTAATTTAATAATTAGTTTATGAAAATCACTGGTAGAATAAAATATTTTATTTTTATAAGTTAAATGTTGCACTGTCAATAGAAGAGGCAGTAGTTTTCTCAACAGCATCATTTGTTCCTTTTAAGTATAATTAAACCTGTATTTATTGACTCTGCAGACTGGTCTCTACCACAAGGTTTTTCCAAGGCAGTTACTGGAATTACATAGGAATGAGTAATTGTTGTTAATAGCACATGATGTTCTTAAAACGTTTGTGAAAATACTTGGCACATTAGTTGAATCAAATAAGATACTGTTGTACCCATTAGAGGGTAAAATGAGTCCTGTGGGTTTGTTAAACAGAGAACGGAGAGAGGCTGGCGTGAAGTGTTGGTTGATATAGATCCAGAAGTTCCTGACCAGCTGCGGTTTGTCCTGTCACCATCCAGTACCCCTGCGACAGTAAACTTTATTCAGGTAAGGTTATGCCTACCAGAGTTTGTAGTTACATTTTTAGTCACTCTTTCAAGTACATTTACTGCTGCTCAGTTACTTTGACGGGAAGAGGAGGGCTCTCAGACTATAAATGTGTAAATCCAGCTCCCCTTTCCAGTCTGCAAAACTTGCACAAGCATTTGACTTTGTATGCTGTGAAAATATAGCACAAAAATAAACACGAACATCAAACTTGACAAAATCAGAGCTTAAACAGACAAAACACTTCAGAGAGCAAGCTGAGGCAGCAGGTTCCAGGGGGAGTTCTGCGTTGCATGTGTCACATCACCATCTGGACAGTGGCCCTGCCTAAGCCAGGCTCTCAACTGCTGCATACATACTTGGTGCAGCTGGGTACTTCTGTGCCATACTGACCTTTAATGGGAAGCATCTTAAGATTTTTTTGTCCTAAGAAAAGTATTTGAGATTAAAACCAACTCCAAAGTTACACACAGATAGGCCTTTTAGAAGGGTGTGCACAGCTGAAGAGCTATTTTTATTCTTTCAGTACCACAGTAATGCAGTTTCACCTGATGCAGGGTATTCTCACTTGTTACAAAAATCTTCACTTCTGTTGACTATATGTTATAAAAGAGATGACTGAACTCCAGCACTCAGAAAGTACCAATTCAAAATTACATTTAGCAAAAACTAGCTCAAGCTTTATGGAGCCTAGAATACACCCCTGGACCTCTATGCCCCCAAGACATCAAGTGTGAAGAACTCTTACCTTGTACTTGTTTGCTAATACTGGTGTTTTGGTCTTTGAACTCTGCACTAGCCTGAGGAAACGAGAGATCATGTGGAAGTGTGTCCTGAGGCTGGTGTTGTCATTCAGAGGCTTGCCTGTCGTATAGAAAAGGATGGTGGGGCTGCGCTGGTTGCGGATTATGGTCACGATGGAACCAAAACTGACACTTTCCGGGTAAGTCCTTTACCCTGAAATAAGAAGCCAAAACACTCTTATATTTTGTCACTTGGATCATTTAAGTTTTTGTAAGACAAAGGTCCTGGGTGGCCATAATACCAAAAAGTACCACTGCAGTCATAAAACTGAGTAATTGAGTTCTTATTTAATCAATACCCATAAGGGTTTCTGCTAGATAGAAAGGATAATCTGAGCCCTTGCTACATTTATCTAAAATTTTCAAAGTACAGTTTGCTATTCTCACCCCTCACATGCACAGCTTAGTCTTTGCTAGCCCCAGCTGTGGTGGCTAGGAGTAAGCTGTTTATAATCTTTCAATTTAATTCTTCAGGGTTTCCGGAATCACAAACTTCACGATGTGCTGATTGCTCCAGGTACAGCAGACCTGACAGCAGATGTTGATTTCAGCTATCTTCGAAAGATGACGCAGGGAAGAACAGCGACATTAGGCCCTATAAAACAGCGGGAGTTTTTAAAAAACATGGGCATTGACCTCCGATTGCAGGTACGATAGTGATTACAGGTACATAAACTCTCCTTATCCATAAGCAATATTCTTAAGCAGCAAGAGAGCTTTTATGAAGATCTGATTTTAAAAGAAAGTTGTTTAAAACATGTAGGTGCTTCTCCTAGAAATAAGTTATTCTGGTTCCCTCAAAGTAAACTGTTTTTATTACATTTAGGAGAGTTTAATGTGAAACTTTGCTACGTACATCAATGTATGAGCTCGCTCAGGGATCTCACCAGTTATACTGAACACTATGGCATTGTTACATTAGGATATGTGAAAAGGACACAACAAGAGAGTGCAGGGAATTTATAGGAACACACGAATGGCTATAACCTACATGATTTTTTTTTCTTAGGTGCTCTTGCAGAACGCACCTGACACAGCAACGCAGGAGCAGTTACGTCACAGCTATGATATGCTGATGAATCCCGAGAAGATGGGGGACTGTTTTCACTTTTTTGCCCTGCTGCCTCACCATAGACTTGTACATCCTGAAAAGAAAGATAAGCCGGAATCAAAGTCTCCCTTACTGCCTGTTGCTGGATTTGGTGAACTCTTACTGAAGTAATTTCAAATACAATAGCAAAATGCCTAATAGTAGTAGCTTTCAATAGGAACTTATTAAAAAAAAAAAAGAATAGACTCCTGTGTTTTATGGTTTCACACACAGTTTTGCAATAATGTAATCAGCCCTGCAGTAAGGTAAGAACTAAATATTTTGATTTATCATCTTTGAAGTGAAAGCCCCTGAAATGTCACATTACTTCTCCAGGCAGTTTTCTCACACCAATCTACACTTCAGGGTGTAGCCACATGCCAGTAGGGAGTGCTGTTTCAGAGTAAATCTAGTGCTGCATGCTAACCCTATCACCTGACCTACTCAAAGCACTATGTGTAGAAGTCAAACCCTGCACATACAGAAACCAGTGTACACAGAGCAGAGAATGAGCAATTTTTCAGGGGTCTTATGACAGAGCTGAGTGAAGTATTTAGTAGTGGAATCAAGTTTTAACTTACCAGTAACAAAGAGAGGTGCTAAGGAGACTTTAAGTGTAGTCAGCTTTGGTACATGCTTAAAACTAGATGCCTTGACAATTTTGAAGACATTTTTTACAAAGAATGATGACAGGAAGCATGCAAAAAGAGTTCTTAGTTCCAAAGCACCTGCTAACAGAATTGACACAGCAGGACATATCTAATGACAAATCCACAAACAAACATTTACTTCTAAGAACACTTGACAGGAAAGATAATTCATGTAAATAAAAAGAACAAGTCTGATAGGGAAATAAATTTTTATTTTCAAGCTTATCAGAGGATATTTACAAACAATGGGATGTATAAAAATATAAAAGTACTTGACAGTGTCCTTTTGAGGCTATAAATTTTACATGAGCTTTTTTCTAGCATCAAAGCACTATTTCTTCAACGAATGCATTTTCAAGCTTATCAGAGGATATTTACAAACAATGGGATGTATAAAAATATAAAAGTACTTGACAGTGTCCTTTTGAGGCTATATATATTTCTAGCATCAAAGCACTATTTCTTGAACGAATGCAACTTAATTCATCTAGGGGTAAGGATATGAAACACTGTAACCTACTGCTGTCAAAGTCTGCAGTAAAGGTAGGAAAAAAGGAAATAAAAAACTTGTCTATTTTTACTACTCTGAAGAAAGTTTATTTCTAATGTACATCTGATTTTTTGGTTCCTTGACTAAGCTGCATGTGGCTTCTATTGTCTGGCCCCGTAAGTCTGCATAGAGATGTGGTCAGGCAATCTCCTCCAAAGGCAAACAGCATTATTTTTTTGTTGTTTTAATATGACCTGAAGAATAAATAGCTCATATAATACTTTGACGCAGAGCAGACTTCATGGGGACAGACATCAGCCAGGCCTTCTACTTCATTGTTGTCCCCTCCTTCCTCTATTCTGTTGTGCTTTTTCAAGTGACTGAGCTGGCTTTTTCTCACCTCCCTTAAAACACCACAAACAAACCAAAAACAAACCCCCAGGAAAACCTGATGTGACTGCTCAAGTATAAAATCTGAAGTTTAAAACCAGACCTTATCTACATTATTGCAGTTAGGATGGAAGATAGCAATGGCTTCACTGAAATATGGTCACTTGAGCAGTGGAAGCTGAAGAAAAGCACTGCTTCCCTTGCCAAGCCTGGGCAAATACTAGACTACCAACTTCACAGGTGATTGTTCTGTTTCCAAAGATGAAAAATAGTGCCTCCCAGAAGAATCAGTCCTGCAACACTGCCTCAGCAGGATGGCAAGGTTAAGGGACAAATTCTGCCCCTTATGAATTCCTTTATCTTGCCTTGACAGCATAGAAGGGGGAGAAAAGACCCTCAGTGTAGAAGGGACAGGGACTGCCAACAGGCAAGTCCCTTGCACAAACCTGAGAAAAACATGTGCTAGGAGAGAGGACACGTGGTGGTCAGAAAGGCTGAAATGCTTTGCCCACTGCTGGCTGTAGGAAACAGCCACACAGATTGCACCAATATTTTGTACAAAGTTTGGTTTATGCTAACAGGGAAGCCAGAGTTCAGCCTTTACCAACTTAAGACATCTACCAAATGCAATGGCTGTTAGATTAAGGGCTAGAAAAGGTGGGTTACAGACCCAAACCTACCTGTGGGTACATGCTCCTGCAGCTACCACTGACTTCACAGCCAGGTCTCTGTCATTGCAAGCAGCTGCCAGCCCAGAAATAACCTTGTAAAATTTCATGTATACCTAACAACTTAGAAAAAGTCTCTGCTCACCTGCTTCCTTACCTGAATAACAACAGTAGGAAAAAAAATACTTATCTACATACACACACAAAAAAGAAATCTTTGTAGGAGAGAGAGGAGATACCCCAAAGCCTCTCACTGACTTTGCAATTCAAGCCTGTATCAGTATTTTTAAAAGTATTTCAAGCCAAGCTCCAGTTAAGCAGCTTGGCACATCAGGGATATGTCCAGCACCTTCCAGCAGCACAATGCTGCTATCCCCACACAGAAGGAAAGATCTCTCCTTTTCCATTTTTTAAAACAGGACCAAAAAAAAACCCCACTTTGCATTTAGCATTCATGCCCTCAAACTTGTTTGAAATACCATGAATTTTAACTGCTACGCTGTCCTCTGAGGGAATCATTTCCAAAGGTTACTGCTGCTTCCTCTCTATTGTGCCATAAGTTCTGTAAGTGGTTGGGAATCCATCAATGGAGGCATCTGCATAAAAAACTGAATGAGGAGTTGGTTTTGAACTCTTTGTTCAGCTCAAACAACAATGATGCTGAGCACAGCTAAGAGAACGGGAGGGGCTGCAGCTTAAGGTCAGAAGGCAAAACCCTTTCTCCTACAATCCAGCTGCCCTGGCAGAAGCAACAGGTGATCTGACATCCACTGTTACTCCTAAGTTTTGAGCAGAGTTAAGATACAAGCTAGCAGGCTACAAACTACTGCTGATGTAAGTCCAGGGAACCTTAAAAAAAATTTAAACAATATTAGACAAATTTAAAAGTCTAATTACTCAAAACAACAGAAGAAAGCTGCATGTATTTTCCCCTATTCTTCCACATCCTTCTGCTAGAAGCTGTTTTTCCAGAGTGAAAGGTATGCTACATCAAGCCTCGTGTGCCCTCTGTGCATTACCTGTGTAGTTTTAAGGCAAAATGCCTTTTGTGTCTATCAGTGACTTGTGCCAGCCTTGCACAGCACCACACTGTTGTGGCTTATTGCTCTCTTTTACAAGACAAAACAAAGGACTAGAGTAGCTTTGATTGTCATCTCTTTAGATTGTCAACCAGCATTTCAAGAGGAATGTAAGAAGTTATAGGGTTTTCCTTTTTAGGGGTATCTGAAAGAAGTTCAATTAGGGCAAAGACACACATATTTAACTGTCTTAACAGCAGCAAATTATTCCTTAATTTATGAAGCTGTATTCGACCTAGACCACCATGTTTTGCTGTTAGCCAAGGTATTCTGCACTGGTTTCTTTTTACAGTCTCTTTTCACCATGCACAGTTTAGGAAACAGGAGATGTATCTAAGTAACAGAAAACAGTCCTCTATGGCCTAGTAAATAGGGATTGGAAAACCGTTACAAAATTCTTATTGTGTAGGCTATGAAAAAAAAAAAAAAAAAAACCTTGAAAAACATACAAACCATTCAATCTGTACACATTACACCTCAGGAATGGCTTTGTAGCCACACGGCTTGGTGAAATGTTACCCAACAGGGTTTATCCCACTGTCCAGTAATTACTCATAGTTAAAGTCAGAGATGGAGAAAAGCTTGTCAGACGACAGTCTATTCCCATGTCAATGCAGGACCCTCTGGGGCTTTGTACACTGAACTATGTGTACAGCATTCAAAAGAGCAACAGTTGTTCCAAAACTTATCTTCAGTTTCTGTCTGGAGTGTTGTTCTTTGCTGCAATTTTGGTTAATGAATAAATCAAGGGTCTTCTTCCATGTCATCTGGATTAGGAGCCATAATAAAATGCTGCGGGTACTCAAGGTTGTGTTCATAAGCATGTTCTTTCCAGCGTGCATCATCGCTCTCATGGGTAATGTAACGCTCCCCAATGCGCGTTTCAAATTCTCTGAGGTCAAGCCAAGTCTGATAATCCTAAGGAGTAAAAAAAGATTTAAGGAAGCAGTTTAAGAAACAGTAGCACTGCATTTCCACATTCTGAAGTTTGTCTCTACTTTTAGTACAAATAGCCACATGATATAATCAACAAGATCTTTTAAAAAAATAAACACACACCCCCTGCAAAATACCCCAACTGTGTCCACACAGAATGGATCAAAATTAAATAAGCTAGTATCTGAGGTTGCAATACTGTACTTTTTCTAACAAGACAGCTCTCTTAGCTTTATAATAAAAGTTACATATATTAAATATAATACATTAAATATACATTTAATTAT